CTTATTGTTGTTTGTAATAAGTACAATTGGAGTTCTTGGTGAGTTAAAGTCTTCAATTTCCATAGCAGTTTCTGCTTACATACTCTCAGTTGCGATGTTCTCTTTGTTGCTGTTATCAGGAGTTCTAACTAATGAGGCTTCTGTATTTTCTTTTTCTACAACAGAGTTTCTGAATTCAAATCCTCCATATTAGAGGAGCTATTTTCTGAGGTTACGTCTGTTTGGGAGGTTTCAGGTTCTGTGTCTTTAAGAGAGGAGGTGGAGTCTTGTTGGTTTATTTCTTCATCATCTAATTCAATATGAACGGTTTTACCCTTCTTTTTGCTGGCAAGAAATTCTTTATGCTGCTAATAAAGCAGTAAGGCTTCTTTAAACTGGGGCATTCTTTTTTAATATGCCCTTCTTTGTTACAGAAGTAACAGAGTTTAGGAGCAAAACGCCATTCTATGGCAACTTTATTATCGAAAATGACCTCAAAGCGTGGAATTCTTTCTTCAAGATCTGAGTCATCAGTGGTCTCGAAGGTAACTATCCATTGGTCTGTCAAATAGAGAGTACCTTCAATTAAGAGAGGTTTAATTGAAATAATATTACCTATATCATCAAAGACCTCTTTGATTTCATCAGAAATATCTTCTTTGTTACTCAAAGATACATTTCTGATTTTAACTGAGAGGAAGGACCTTCTCATATCAGTTGGAATATAGCCATAATAGGTCTTATTGAATATTTCAATTCCTTTTGTAGCATAATACTTGAGTTTTTCTTTACTAGCAAATATTAGCTCAAGATGAGTACGTATACCTCTACTAATGTGTGGCTTAGTAGTGATAATATCATGTGCTGCTGTTTCATAGAGAGAAATCATGATTTCGTTCAGAGAGCCATTGAGGTTTTGTATATCTAAAATGAGGGCATTATCATTTTTTGATTTTATACTATTTCTTAGAGAGAAAGAGGTAAAGGTTGATTGACCTCGCTTGACTTTTGCAAATAAACTTGACCACAGTCTTTGCAAAGTTTCATTATTGTTGTTTGTTGAACTTTTTTTAGGTTCTGTTAGAGATGAGTCACGTAAATCTGGATGTGTTATTTTTGTTGTTATTTGAGCCTTAGTATTTTGACTTTCCTTACGTGCTTTAGAGTTAGATATGATACTCGTGTTGTTTTTGTTTTGTTGTTTTTTTTTAAACTTTTAGTGCTATTTTCTTGAGTGACTTGTTCATCCTAGCTAGAAGTATTAGCTACAGAGATATTTTGTTATACTGAGCTAGCTGATGTAGTTTGGTTGCTTGTTGCTTCCATAGTCTCTTTGTTAGAATATAAAACTATTTTATTTTCTAAAAGTTGTTCTTTCGATGAAAAACTTCTAGCGAGCTTAATTTTTTTATTTGTTAAAACTTCTGTGAAAGAAGTTTTATGCTTGCTTGGAACTAGGAGAAGAGCCCCTGTTCTATTACTATTTTTAGAGTTAGTGTTGTCTTGTGTAGAGATTATTTTGTTGTTTCTAAAAAACCCTCAATTCTAATTTTTGTGGTCAGGAGAGAGAGTGTGTCGATCTTTTTGATTTAGCTCATTTTTAAAGAAGTATTTATAGGAAATTTCGAAAAAGTAAAATAGTAAATAAATATGAGCATGTTAAAATTTACAGAAATATATATACTTGACTAGGCAATTCAGCTCTCTCGAATCGTGAGGCTCCAATATAACTATGCTAATGTATTTATATACAGGTAAAGAGCTAAAAAAAAAAAAAAAATTCGAATTTTAACGAGAAGCTGAAAAGAGGGAAAAATTTATTTGGTGATAATTTTTGTATTTTCAAGACATTTGCATAATTTTAGATTTTGAACTTCTAAGTTGAACAAAACAATTTAAGGTCAACTAAATTACTAAAATATTAATAGTATTTTTAATAGACATAATAAGCCAATATATTTTGAAAATATCAAAACTAATAATGAGGTTATTACAGAACTTGATTAAATTAAATCAACAATTCGTAACTAATTCTGCTAATAGACAGCTCACTATGATATTGATTTAACAATATTTAATAATTACTAAAAATAGATATATAAACTATCTAATAGTATTAATTCTGAATAGTATAATCCTGTATTAATAGAAATATACTTAGTAACCTAGCTAATAACAAAGCCTATAGCCTTTTAGGCATTAGCTATTAATGATTAAATATTCAGATCTTACTACTATTCAAACTATTACTACTTTACTTAACTGATACTTAATTTCATAAACAATTTCTAAATAATAGAAAGATAGCTACATTTTTTTATCTATAAAAAGTCAATTTTTGATAGAAATCTGAATAATACTTAGCTAATTAACCTTGTTGAACATATCAAAAAGCTTTATACAAAGATTATTATAATATGTTTTAATAATATTTTTACATCTCACAAAATTTTTAACTCTTATAATTATAGTATAAATATACTAATCAATATTCTTATTAATATAATTGAAGATATAAACTGTAACAAAAAGAGCTCTGGCTTTTATATTAGGATATGAGTAAAACTTATGATTCTGTAAACTTAGACCTTCTTAAGTTAGCTTTTAAATATATTTAAATACCTTCTTAGCTACTTGATATTATTACTAACTTACTTACTAAGTAAACATGTAGAGTTATTATTAACTTCTGTAATACATGTATATTTAACATTTAGCCTTTTTAAGTAGAAGCCTCACCATAGTTTTGTTGTTTGTCATTACTGTGTTTAGCTTAGGCAATGTTATAGAAATTCGATATATCGAATATATCCGATATATTCGATAGATTAGATATACAATGTATTAGATAAATTGGATATTTCGAAACCTGTATTTATTAGTGATGTAGAAAGTATAAAAGCGATTCCACTTTACCTTCAATTTACTGGGAGTTCAATAAAATAATCTCAGTTTTGAGAATCAAAATCCTTTGCCTAATAACTCCAAAAAGTCTCAATACCACATTCGCTTATCTCCAATTACCCCCCCCCCCCCCAGATAATAACAAAACCCCTCAATAAGTCAAGAATCGCCTCTTGACTTACTGAATATCGGGACACGTGACCTAGAAGTATTGAATCTGGATAATCCAAGAATAGCCCTAAACCTCGGAGCAAGTTTTTCCACGTCGTCTTTCAGCCTTCCAACTTAGGGTTGATTGTTTGATTGAGTTGTATATTTAAATCCGAGCCCTAACCTCCGGATGAGTTTCGATCTAGGACCAGTATAGACCTTTTCAACGGTCCCATCTATATATAATGTGCCGAATAGAGAGCTTTTTTGGATCTTCATCCCAACTAGTGTTTCGGGCGAAATTCAATTTTGCATATCAAAATTGGGCGAAATTAATTTCGGACTTATAGGGCGAAATTCAAAAATAATTTCGCCCGAAACACTAATCCCAACACTTCTTTAAAGATTTGCATAGTATGACTTTGATAATAAATAGTTGATCTCAAACCTTCACAAATATCTACTACTAGCACTAATAAAACTATCATCTTATATTCGGAAAATACAAGATTTCCTGATGAAATCTCTCACATAATCTTTCCAAATAAATAAATATTTAATGCTTTAGTGAATGGGTTTTCCTCGTAAAACTTCCGGAGCTATCCTATAAGAAAAGTGCTCCGGATTGGCACGGAAAAACAGTGTAAAGGCACTAGCTTGAGTGGCGCGGGCCAAGATCCGTATTTGAATGTGCATGGTCTGGATTGGTACGGAATTAGTGGACCAATTGGGACAAGGGATGCGCAATTTATAACTTGGGATGAATATAATATTTTCTCATTTCGGGTTTCAGGTATCAATGATAATTGGAAATAAATAAATGAAAGAAAATCAAAGTTCCTAAACTACTTTAAGATTAGGAATTAATCTCTCTCTACTTTATTAAAGATATGCTCACATTAAAGACATTATTTCTAGTTAACTTACTATCTTACATCAGAGGCCTCGTGTTATCACGCTAGCTCTCATGTTAATGAGGCTTTTAGATTAGAAATGGTAAAGTCATAATTTAAGCGTAATACTGTATACCCGTGTCAAAGTTCTCGTGGAAATACTTAGATCGACGCATGATACGGAAATTTTATTTTTATTATTCGTAAAAATTTGGATTGAAAAATGTATATATTTGGATAAATTTCGATAATTTTTCAGCCAATATTAAATTTATAATTTAGGCCAAAATAACATGAATACTGTATTTGCGATTAGAAATAAAAGTCCGAATTTAATGCGCAAATAAATTTTATCTCGTAACTTAAAAAATAGAAACAATAGTTTCACTAAAATGGAATTTAAATCCGTTTCTAATTTATCATAATTATTAAAGTATGCATTTTTTTTTTTTTTTTTTAAATCAACAAAAATCAAGAATTCTATGAAAATACGCAGAAATTTGGAAATTCACAAATATTTGGATTTGTTTGTAAAGGGTCTGATTATTTGGATTTACTTGGGAAAATTTGGTTTTTTGCAGCAGTTTCTAAGCCAATTGGCACGGATATGGGAACAGATAGTTTTAGTAAAAATTTTTAGGCAGTAAATTCGATAGTTATAGTATGATCATGGCGATAAGTGAGAACGCCTATAGTAAAACGTAATTTTTTTAGTTAGGACACCACGAGTAAATTTCATGAGATATGATGGTGTGAGACGGGAAAAGTAGCTCCGGAAACACGTGAGGGTCGGAAGTCTATGTGCCGCAGTATCTGAATACGGTGTAAAAGTCAAAAATACCCCGCCCCGAATGTACTACCTTCCGATGTAGTACCAAGTCCGATATGGCCGATATGTACGATTCTTGCGATCTTGTAAATCAGAGAGTATTTCAGGGCGGCCCCCAAAGTTCGGGTCGATGACCGACGTCTAGTCGATGATTGACCCCGGATTGATGATCGACATCTGATCAACGATATTGCGCAGCATTATCTGATAATGCTGCGTATCATTGATCAGATGTCGATCATCAATCCGGGGTCAATCATCGAATAGACGTCGGTCATCGACCCGAACTTTGGGGGGGCCGCCCTGATATACTCTAAATCAGATTGATCATTTTTATCCCAGATAAAAATGATCTGGAGGATCGATTTTATCCTTAAGATAGAAAGGATCCAAATTATCTTTTTTATTATTTTTATCTTATTTATTTTCTCATATGTAAATTTGTCTATAAAAGTACAACTTTCGAATTCCTAACTTTGATAAGTTAGTTGTATATAAGTCAAATACTTCGAAATTCGAGTAGAAGTATTGTGACCTCGTTTCCTCATTTGTTAAAAATACATATTCATTGTTAAAAACCCCGCCCCGTGATAATCAAGTTCCCAATCAATTTAAACAATAATCAATTATCCCGATTATAGTTTTATTGATAAACTTAAACCCCATTGTCAAATCAATAACCAATCGGATCGAAATCCAGATCACGTGTCCCGTGATAAAAGTAAAAGTATAAAGAAACCGAAAGACCAAACCCGAAACAACAAGAAGAATTAAAGCCTAAGAACCAAACAACACTCACCTCAAAGAATCCTCTATGCAATCCTAAAAACCCGGACCAAATCCTCCACGACCTCTTTCAGCCTACCAACTTAGGGTTGATTGTTGGATTTGTAGTGATTGTTTGTTGACTTGTCGAAATACGTACCTAGGTGTAATCGAAACTCTCCGGTCGAGTTCCGTACCAGAACCGGTTTACACCTCTTCAACGGGTATGCAGATCTCTTGCCTTTATTGGGTTTCCCGGGGATAAAAGAGTTAAAAGTCTTATAAGTATTAAAAGAGTTATAAGAGTTTTAATACATATAAGAGACAAAAGAGGGAAAAGACTTAAAAGAGATAAAAGAGTTTTAAGCATTATAAGACGTTTAATAGTTAAAATACGTTTAAGTATTAAAAGAGTTATAAGAAACATATTGATGTAAATTGTATATATTGAGAGCGTATTCGCTCATAATAAAGGATAACTCTATATAGTTTTGTTTTGCTTTTAAGACTGAGTTCTTTATTAAATTGATAATTTCCAATACATTAAACCCCGAACACATAATAATTTCGCTAAACTAACCCCCTCCATAACCCCGCTTTCGTTAAATTGACATACAGTACGTTTACTGTTGTCTTGCACACGTGATACATACCTGTAAATTGTCCGGTTAAATCTTGACGTACTAAGATTAACCGTGGTCTTCGATTCCAACTAACCCGACGTATTGTGGTTGGTTGTGGTTATTTGTGTTGGTTCCAGTTACCCGACGCACTGTGGTAACTGTGGTTTCGAATATTGGAATACCCGACGAACTGTGGTATTCATATTCTTTAAAGTTTAAACCCTCTGAGTGGTCCGCCTCTATCAAGTAGAAGGTTGATATTAGTGGTATCAACTCTAAAGACTCGAATATTAGAAGATTAAAGAACAACCATATCACTAACCTACGAGCCCTAACCACCGACCAAATATAAACGCCCTCTTTCGATAAGCCATTCGTAGGTTATAAGGAGTTTTCCATAGCCGAGCGACTGACTCGCCGTATAATACCCTCGTTTCAATGGTTTTGAAATTTCGCGTTACACAATATCCTGCACTCCTATTGGTAATGGGTTAATTCTTTCAGCTCCGACCAGGGACCTGAAAAGTTTCAAAAAGAATTTGCTCCATAAATTGCAAGTTTACGTATTTTAACTTTTTTAGATACATCCGAAAAGTCCCATCGTAGAATATAAATAACTTAAACTACGCGAAATTCCAAATATGTACACGGGTAAAAAGAAATTTTAATAGCAAAAAATTAGCAATTTAACAAAAAAACATTTAGACAAAAAGCCCAAACAATATTTGTGTAACGGTTCCGCAATTTTTCGGAAACCGTAGTTAGGGGAGGGACAGAAATCAGGTGATTTCAATTTACTATAGAGCTCCTCCTACCACCCCCCACCTGACTGTATGTTATAGTATATTCTATAATTAATATAATATTTGACCTGACTGAACTTCTAACCCCCTACCCCCCTAAGAAATCAGCTGATTTCTGTCCCTCCCCTTAACTCAGTGATTTTCACATGATACTCGCCTAAGTTAGGATTAGGTGTTATAATTTAGGCTGATTTGTAAACAAAGACGTCATGCAGATCGCCGTAACGTCACAAGGAATCCATTTGTCACCTCTCCCGTTACCATATGGGCTGATCGGACTCATTTCATGTGATATAAAATGTGATCCTGTATATAATACTTTAGTACTGATACGACAATAACAACACAAGTAAACAGCGATAAGAATAACTAATACACGATAGTTACATTATTATTTTTTAACAAAAAATTCGTAAAAATCTTTTAACATAAGTTCTATTGCATTATTTTATATTTTAAGTATGCGAATAGTAAATAATAAGGTTTTCTATAGCAATTTTCGTTTGCGCTGTATAATACAAAAAAAACTATGTTAGAGTCGTAAAGAAAGTATTAAATAAAAAAAAAAAAACAATTATTATATATATAGGTATAAAAGTATATTATTTTAATTCTAGAAGGAAAAACGATTTGATGATCATATTTAAATAATTTGATTGGCGTATTTGTTGTACAAATATTCGTAAATATCACCTATGTAGATCTGATTTTCAAAAATCAACTCTTAAACATCACTTAAATGAGTCCGATCAGCCCATATGCACTTATCGAATTAACGATTATGGTAAGCATGAGAAGAAGGCGTGTTGATGAAGTAATATATCAAAGTGGGTTAGTCATGGCAAAAAAATGTCGAGATCACGCGATCATTTCCGACTGTAATCTGAAAGAGCTCAAAAGATAATCTTATTACCGTAACATACGTTAAAGACATGCTTCGAAAAAACATGTTAAGATTTTTGTAAGAGGATTGTGTATAATTAATACACAAACCTCATTACAAAAATCTTAACATATTTTTTCGAAGCATGTCTTTAATGTATGTTAATAAGATTATCTTTGAGCTCTTCCGATTACGGTCGGAAATGATCGCTATCGCGTGATCTCGACATTTTTTTGCCATACTTTAATATATCACGTATTAATGAGCTTGAAAAGTATTTGCATCATAAACTACTTTTCAACCTGTGACATGAAATAAATATAATCTATTAAAATATGTTAAACCAAAGAATCTTATGTATTTACACAGTTTCACTAGTTATTGCATTAAGTCTGTTCTTTGGACTATTATTTGGTTTAGGTTACCCAGAGATCAAGAGAGCTGAATATATCCCTACAACATGTACAATCGAAGCTGAATCTATTAAACCTAGATATTGTTGCTATTTAGATTGTGATTTAACTTGTCAAAATGCACCTTCTTCAACTCCCAGTTGCTCATCACTTGAATCTCGTTGGAATGCATTTTCTCCCACTCAATGTGTTGCCGCTTCAGTAGCAAATAGTTCTCAAAATCTTAATGATTATTGTCCAATTGATGGACCTCAAGCAATTTGTGATAATGGTTTTTACTGCTGTAGTGAATGTTGTGAAACATGTACAAGTTGTTCTACTAGCTGTACAGGTACAACAGGTGGGTGCTCAACTACTTGCACATCATATACTTGCAATTGCTGGTGTTGTATCTCTACAAATCATCAATCATGTCAGGTCAAATGTCCCGAATGTTATTCTGTGGAATTAATAGTGCAGTATCTTCTTTGGGGAGGTGGTGAGATTATGACATCAAAAATCTCTGTGGAATTTAATCAGGCCTTAAATGATGCGCAAGAATTTCTGTCAGCACATCCTGTAACTTCAAAAGTGCGATGTTATTATAATCCAGAAAATCCTCTTCAAGTTCTATTATCCGTAAATTACTCAGTCCGAACTTGGGTTCTAGTTGGAATAAGTGCATTAATTCTTATTGTTATGCTCTCTATTGGGACTAGATATATCTTCCACAAAGTTTCATTCTTGGAGGATATTAATCATAAAATTTTTTCTCTACAAAGTGGATTATGGATTGGAGCCATTTGTCCTTTCTTGTTCTTCCTTTTACTTCTGGTTCCTATTACAAACAAATATATTCTTTTGGTACTCTCACTATGTTTTATTGCTATCGGTTAGACTCCTTTATTAATTAGTATTACTATAGAGTTCAAAAGGAAAAGTTACATAATTGCGTGTTTTACGACTCTTTTATTTTTCATATCACCCATTATTATTTTTGGATTAACTGCCATCTATATTTCAAGTCTAAGCAAAACAACACAAATGATTTTTATAATGTTAGCAATTATAATTCCTATAGGTTATATTGTATGGATTATTGTAAACTGGGGCAAATTACACTTACGATTACTTAAATTATTCAGTAAAAATTCCAAGGAGAAAAAGAATTCATCTTCTATTCAAACAGAATTACCTATTGATCATAATGAAGATTTTATAATTGATGATAGTGCGCCTCCAACTTATGAGGAAGCTATTGCAAAAGTGCATTTAACACCTTAAAAACATTTTCTAATAAATCAAAATTCAAATATCGGGATTAATGAAATATTATTACTAAACTATTATATAATGTAACTTCTTGTATTTTATGTAAATATAATGTCAAAGAATTTATTATTACAAAAAGTGATCATAACTCCTTACAGTTTTTAGCAATTCACATATAAATTAAGTACGTATGCATTCTTCAATTCATAATCTAAATCTTATATTTTTATATTATACATAAGTTTTATGTTAAAATTATTACTATTTATCGATTCCAATTCTCATCTAATTTATTTTCACTTAAAACGCTAAAATCCTTAAATCTTATTTAGGTTCGCTTCAAATAAATATCACCAACCTGTGATTCATTATTATGATTGTTAAACTTCCAATAATTTAAATAAAGTAAAAAATCTTTTGCGTTGTTCTTCATTATTTTTGATTCAGAATATAAAGAAATTGCATATTGAAATTATGCATCAAGGGTTGATTTGAAAAATTCATTTACCTCTTTTAATGCTCTTCAAAATTCTCAACATGCAAATAATATTTTGAAGCATGATTCTTTCAAGAATTTCAAAATTTTCGGCAAATTCTGACAACGGCATTAAATAACTACGACGCTACTGTAGTTTAATAATAAGCAGAAAAGGCAATAGGAATATTTATCAATAATTAATTTTGAATAGCCCAATCTTTGCGTATTTGAATTTACTCAAAAAATTTTTCGTGTTGATCATTATTCTTTCTATAAATAGGATAAATTTATTTTGTGAAATGTTTAAGATGTTGAGCAAATTTCATAGTAATTATTGTGGAATTTACTGTAGTTAGCTTACAATGAAAAATTTTCGTTATAATAGTGAAATTTGGTTTTGTAAATCGCGAGATAACTATTTAATTTTTACTTATTACAGAAAACTTCCGGCATATCGACTAGTGATGCAGTAGAATCGTCCAAATGAATTTTTTTGATGTCAAAATTACGACAAAATCCAATTATGTGTAATAACAATTAGTAACTTTATTTCATAGAGTAACTTAGTTAGTCGATAAAATCAACTTGGTGTTCTCAAGTAACTCCCTTCAAATGCAATTTAAAGCGATCGAAATGTTGCTATTAATTGAAGTGATTTTTGCAAATATTCCTTGTAACGATATGCGATAATTTAGCTATGCAAAATGTATATTTTAAATTTTAAACAAAGTAACTATGGAAAAAAAAAGATGATCGTGCTAGCAAGATTAGTAGCTCAGGTGTTTTATTAAAGAGAATGGATAATAAAAGTAAAATTACTTAAAACAACATATGTATAAAAGTTACAACACAAAACACAGTTACATACATAATCAATAATAAAACAGATATAATTGTATTTATATTTAATGCCGTACGAATGTCATAATATATCGTAACCTAAATAAAAAAGTTTCAAGTTGTAACTTAGTTACGATTAGGGACGCAATAGAAAAACATATCTGATATCAAATATGTAGCGAGTTATGACATATGCCATAACAAGTTTCTACTGCATCTAGGGTCTTGGACCCTAATTTATTAGGGTGCGCTATATCATAATTGATCAAAACTATATAAGGTCAATCGATAAATTGATGGTAATAAATTTTCTGA